GCAGTCTTCCTGCGCCGCCCCGGCGGGAGCGCGGCGCTGCGCGCCAGCCTGCGATGCGCGCGCGCGCGTCTGCCGCGCCGCTGCGTGCGAGAGTGGCCCTCGGTGCGCGGCAGCGGCTCCTGGGCGGGGGGCGCGGCGCTGCCTGCCGGGGAGCCCGCCGCGCGCAAGAGTGGCCCCGGGGGCCGCGGGGGGGCCGACTCCCAGCGCGCAGGCCGGCGCTGGGGCGGCTGGCCCCTGTGCGCGCGCACCGACCGAAGGCCACCCCGGCGAGAGCACGCGCGCAGCCGAGGGAAGGGACCGCAACCTCGGCGCGGGGACCGCCGGCGCAGGGCGGGCCGCCAGCGCCGCGCGGTTGGACCCGGCCAGCTCGCGGAGGCCGTGCGCCGAAAGCTCGGGCGTCGCCCCTATTATAAGGAGTGCGGCGCGCCGCGCCAGCCTGCGATGCGTGTGTAGACACGTGCCGGCACGCCCGCGAAGGACTACACGTTCTGAGTGGCCGCCGCCTCTGCTCCCCCTTCCTTGCGTCCTTCTCCGCTCTCCTGTGCCCCAGTTCCCTTCCCGGCGCGCCCCGCCCGTCGCCCGACTGGCGCCCGCACCGGCTTCGACCCGCTCGCGCCTGCTGGCATAAAAAAGTATGTGCGCATTCCCGCTGTCTTTGCTTTAGATGCGGATGCTCTCGCCTGTGCTCTGCTGCGCGCAAATGGGGGGTCCGTCGAGGTCAGGCTCCGCAGGAAGGCCGGGGCGGAGGTGGCGCGGGCAATGCGCTGGACGCCGCCGTGCCCTTCACCTTTGGACTCTTCTCCTGCCGCGTCCCTGTCCTCCTCCTCATCCTCCTCCGCCTCCTCCTCCTCCGCCTCCTCCCTCTTCCTCTTCCGCCTCGTCCTCCTCCGCGTCCCTGTCCAAGGCCTTCTTCCCTCTTTCACTGTCCTCTCCAAGACAGCTTCCACTCCGGCGGAAGTACACTCCAGGGGGATCAAAATGCCCACGAAGGCACGCCCCCCCACCCCGCGGCGCCGCCACGCCCAGGAGGGTCAGCCCCAGGGACAGCACCCAAGGGAAGCCCTTCCTCTCTCGCTTTCCCCCGTGGCACCCGACTGTCGCATCGCATAGCCTCATGAAGCCCCCCCTCCTCCCCTGTGGCACCCGACTGTCCCTTCGCGGAGCTCGAGGGCCTCCCTGGCCCCCTGGCACTCGAATGGCGCTCTGCAGGGCTCGCCTGGGCCCCCTTCCCTGGCACGCGATCGCCCCCTCGCAGAGCCCAAGGGGGGGCCCTTTTCCCAGCACCGGACCGTCCCTTCGCAGAACTCATGCCCTCGAAAGGTCTCCAGGGGCACTGGAGCGCAAACGCGCATCCGTCCCTGTTCCTTGTTCCTCTTCCTCCAGTGCTTCCTCTCCTGCTTCTTTTCTCCTGTTTTAGCCTTTCCTCCTTTTCCTCCTCCTCCTCCTCCTCCTCCTCCATTTCCCTCTCACCCCTTCTCCTCAATCCCTCTCCCCCCCTTTTCCTCCGTGGCCTCCTCCTCCAATGCTTTCTTCTCCTCCTCCTCCTCCTCCTCCTCCTTCTCCTCGTCCTCCTCTTCCTCCTCCTCCTCTTTTCTACTGCTGCTGTTCCTCCTCATGCTCCTTTACCTTTTCCTGCTCCTCCTCCTCCATCATCATCCATCATCATCATCATCATCCTCCTCCTCCTCCTCCTCCTCCTCCTCCTCCTCCTCCTCCTCCTCCTCATCATCATCATCATCATCATCATCATCATCATCATCTTTTGAACTGCTGCTCCTCCTCCTCATTTATCGTTTCCTCCTCTTCGTACCTGTCGTCCACCTCATCCGACTCTGCCTCCCCCCTCCCGTCACTTTGCAACAATCCGGCCCGCTCCGGTTCGGCGAAGCACAATGCCCAGGAAAACATGGGTGACGACGACGGACACGGACGAAACGGAAGACGACGACGACGACGACGACGACGACGACGACGACTATGGCGGCGACCCTTGGGCATCGAGGAGCCCTCCTGGGGCCCCCTGGGAGGGGTACCTGAAGGCCGCCTCAAAAGCCAGATCCATCAACCATATCAGGATGAACCTGCCCCGATCGTCGCCGACGTCGTTGCCGTCGTCGCCGCCGTTGTCGACGTCGTCGCCGCCGCCGTCGTCGTCGTCGTCGTCGCCGCGGCCGCTGTCCTCGTCGTCGTCGTCGTCATCGTCGTTGTCGCCCACGTCACCGTCGTCGTGGTCGTCGCCGCCGACGTCGTCGTCGTCACCCACGTCACTGTCGTCGTCGTCGTCGTCGTCGTCGCCCACGTCACCGACGTCGTCGTCGTCGCCGCCGCGGTGGCCGCCGCCGGCGCTGCCGCCGACCTCGTCGTCGCAGCCGCCGCCAGCGTCGTCGTTGTCGTCGCCGCCGCCATCGAATTCGTCGTCGTCGTCGTCACCGCGTCGTCGCCGTCGTCGCCGTCGTCGTCGTCGTCGTCAGCGTCGTCGTCGGCGTCGGCGTCGTCGTCGTCGTTGTCGTCATCGTCGGCGCTGCTGACACAGACGTCGTCGTCGTCGTCGTCGTGGCCGCCGTCGTCAATCTCGTCGTCGTCGCGGCCGTCGTCATCGTCGTCGTCGCCGTCGTCGTCGTCGCCATGTTCGTCGTCGTCGTCGACGCCGCCGCCGTCGTCGCCGCCAGTCCCCCCCCGTCGTCGTCGCCGTCGCCGTCGCCGTCGCCGTCGCCGTCGCCGCCGCCGCCGCCGCAATCGTCGTCGTCGTCGTCGTCGTCGTCGTCGTCGTCGTCGTCGTCACAGCCGCTGCCGCCGCCGCAGCCGCCGCCATCGTCGACATCCTCGTCGTCGCCGTCGTCGTCGCCGTCGCTGCTGCTGCCGTCGTCGTCGTCGTCGCCGCCACCGCTGTCGCCGCTGTCGTCGTCGTCGCCGTCGTCGTCGCCGTCGCCGTCGTCGTCGCCGTCAATGTCCTCGTCGTGACCGACGGCGTCGCCGCCGCTGCCGCCGTCGACGTCGTCGTCGTGGCTTCCGCCGTCGTCGTCGCTGAAACGGATCGTGGCCAGCGTCGTCGTCGTCGTCGTCGCAATCGTCGTCGTCGTCGTCGTCGCCGTCCTCGCCGTCGTCGTTTGAAAACCGTCGTCGTCGTCGTCGTCACCGTCGTCGTGATCATCGTCGTCGCCGTCGCCGCAGCCGCCGTCGTCGTCGTTGTCCTCGACGCCGACGTCGTCGTCGCCCGCGTCGTCTGACCATCGCCGTCGTCGTCGCCGCCGCCGCCGCCGTCGCCATCGTCATCGCAGCCGTTGTGCCCGCCGCCGTCGTCGTCGTCGTCGTCTGGAAATCGTCGTCGTCTCCGTCGTCGTCGCCGCCGTCGTCGCGATCGCTGTCGTCGTCGTCAATGTCGACGTCGTCGTCGTCCCCGCCACCGCCGTCGTCGTCGTCTTCGCCGACGTCTGACTCGACCGTCTGACCATCGCCGTCGTCGTCGCTGGCGTCGGCGTCGTCGTCGCCGTCGTCGTCGCCGTCGTTGTCGCCGCCGCCGTCGCAGTCGTCGTCGACGCCGCCGCCATCGTCGCGGTCGTCGTCGTCGTCGTCATCGTCGCCAACATCGTCAAACTTGTTTTAGTCGTCGTCGCCGTCGCCGCAGCTGTCGTCGCCACCGCCGCCGTCGTCGTCGTCGTCGTCTGAAGATCGCCGTCGTCGCTGACGTCGCCGTCGTCGTCGCCATCGTCGCCGTCGCCGTCGTCGCCGTCGTCGTCGCCGTCGCCGTCGTCGCCGTCGTCGTCGTCGTCGTCGTCGTCGTCGTCGTCGTCGTCGTCGTCGTCGTCGTCGTCGTCGTCGTCGGCGTTGCCGTTCGTCGTCGTCGTCTGAAAACCGTCCTCGTCATCGTCATCGTCGACGTCATCGTCGTCGTCAACAATGCTGTCGTCGACGTCGCCGCAGCTGCTAACGCCGCGCCGTCGTCGTCGTCGCCACCGCCGCCGTCGTCGTCGCCGCCGCCGCCGCCATCGTCGACGGCGCTGCAGACGCCGTCGTCGCCATAGTCGCCACTGCCGCCGCTGCAGTCGCCGCCACCGCCGTCGTCGTCGAAGCTTCCGCCGTCGTCGCCGCCGCCGTCGCCGCCGCCGCCGCCGCCGCCGTCGTCGTCGTCGTCGTCGTCGTCGTCGTCGTCGTCGTCGCCGTCGTCGCTGACGTCGCCGTCGTCGTCGTCGTCGTCGTCGTCGTCGTCGTCGTCGTCATTGTCGTCGTCATTGTCGTCGTTGCCGTCGTCGTCCGAAAACCTTCATCGTCGTCGCCGTCGTCGTCGTCGTCATCGTCGCAGTCGTCGTCGTCGTCGTCGCCGTCGTCGTCGCCGCCGCCGTCGTCAAAATATTCGTCGTCGTCACCGCCGATGACATCGTCGTCAACGTCGTCGTCGTCGTCATCGCTGGCGCCATCGTCGTCGTAGGCCCTGGTGCCGCAGTCATAGTCGTCGTCGTGGCCGCCGCCGTTCGTCGATGTCGCCGTCGTCGTCGTGGCCGCCGCCGTTCGTCGATGTCGCCGTCGTCGTCGTCGTCCCCGTTGTTGTTGTTGTTGTCGTCGCCGTCGTCGTCGTCGCCGTCGTCGTCGACGTCGGCATCGGCGTCGGCGTCGGCGTCGGCGTCGGCGTCGGCGTCGGCGTCAGCGTCGTCGTCGTCGTCTCCGTCGTCGTCGCCGTCGTCGTCGTCGCCGCTGTCGTCGTCGCCGTCGTCCTCGTCGTCGTCGTCGTCATCATCGCCGTCGTCGTCGTCGCCGCCGCTGCCGCCGCCGCCGTCGTCTGAAAAGACACAGTCGTCGTCGTCGTCGTCGTTGCTGTCGACGCCGCGGCCACCGCCGCCGTCGTTGACGTCGTCGTCGCCGCCGTCGTCGTCGCCGGCGTCGTCTGAAAATCGTCGTCGTCGTCGCCGCCGTCGTCGTCGACCTCGTCTTCTGAACGTCGCCGTCGCCGCCGTCGTCGCCGACCTCGTCTTCTGAACGTCGCCGTCGCCGCCGTCGTCGCCGACCTCGCGGTCAGCGCCACGGCGAGCGCGCAAGCCGCCGCGCCGCCCGCCAGCCACGCGGGCGCCGCCGCGGGCCCCTCGCCCGGCTCGGCGAGCGCCGCTGGCCGGGCCTATCGGGGGGCGACGACGGGGATGGCGACGGCGACGACGCCGACGACGACGCCGACGACGCCGCCGCCGCCGCCGCCGACGACGACGACGACGACGCCGACGACGCCGACGCCGCCGCCGCCGCAGCCGCCGCCGCCGACGACGACGACGACGACGCTGGGGGGAAAGGGCCCCGGATGGGGCGCCCGTGCGGGCAGTTCGGCGCCTACGACGGGCAGTGGGGCGCGCCGCCAGTGGCGCGGGGCGCTGTGGGGTCGCTGGGCTCCCGCGCCACGGCTCCCCTTGCGCAGGGGCAGCGCCAAGGGGATATACGGTCGGACTTTTTGGATGGGTGTCGCCCCAGCGGCCCCCGGCGACACCCTGTCCCCTGCGAGCGGATCGCGCGTCGCTCCGACCCGACGGGCGGGCTCGGGCTAGCTCGAGACGCTGGCGCTGGGGGGCCACGAAGTGGACAGCGTGTCGCACCAGAGCGTGGTGGGCCAGGACCAGCGGAACGACACCGTAGCCCAAAGTTCCCGACCGTTGGCTCAGGGGTTCGAGTAGACTGCGTCGGGGTGGATCGCGCAGCATCGCGGATGCCTCGGCGGTGCGGCGCGACGTGGAACCCGATGTTCTCCACGCCAATGGCGCCGGTGCATCGCCGAAGCCTCGCCGAAGCGTCGCCGATGCATCGGCGATACGTCGGCGACGCAGCGCGATGGCCCATGGGGGATGCATCGACCCCCAATCGCCCGAGGGTCCACCTCGCCTACGGCAGGTTCGCGTCGTGTCGACCCCGGCGTTGGTTTCTGACACCGCGGGGATCGTTCAACCTTGAACGATCGGCCGCTTCCGAAACGTCCAAATCGTTCCACATCGAACGATTCTGGGTCGCCCGCGACGTTCAAGGTTGAACGCCGCTGGCGGGGTCGCCGCTGGTCGACACGACACTAACCTACCGTAGGGCCGTGAGGCTTCGCTACCGAGGGGGGGGGCCAAGGCCTCCTCGCGCTGTGGACAACAGCACGACCGCGGGCTCTCGATGGGCCAGTGCCAATCCCGCTGCTCGTCCCAGAGGGCCCTCGTCGCCAGGGCTGGGTGCTCCGAGAAAGCCTGGCCAGAACGCAAGCAGGGATGCCCCCTCCCGCTGCGAAAAGATCACGGCGACGACGCTTAGAGGTGACCTCTGACCGTCGTCGTCGCCACCGCTGGATGCTCGCCGAAACTCTGGTCAGAGCGCAAGCTGGGATCCCCCCCGTGGCGAAAGAATCAAAACGGAAGCCCTCACTGGGCCTGGGACGGCCAGAAAACGTCGCGAGATGAAAAACTGGTCCCGAGAAAGGCGTCCAGACTTCTGGGGGGCACACGTTCCCCCCAAAGAAACGTCGTCGGAATCATGGGCATACACCTGCACCGATTATGCTCCTCCTCAGTCCTCCTCAGTCCTCCTCCTCCTCTTCCTCCTCCTCCTCCGCCTCCTCCTCCTCCACCTTTTTCATCCTCCTACTTTTGCCTCCTCCTCCTCCGCCTCCTCCTCATCTCTCTGATTCCTCTTGCTGCTGATGGCCGGGTCGGCCCCTCCTCAAAACTCGGCGATGCCACGGGCGGCCTCTCGTTGGTGAGGGAGGCCAGCAGATTTGTCCTCGACGGTGAATTACTTGCATTTGTAATCCACCATGCTGACGCGCTGTTTTCCACCTGTCTGGATAGTGGTGTACATGAAGCATGACTCGACGCCGGCCCAGCGACACTCGCCTGCATTGTCGGGATGGCGGAGAGCAGCTGCCCACGTATACTTTGAGGTACGTCTCGGGTGCGACGTTGCCGGCAGCATCCATGGGCTGGCTCGTCGCGTAGTATTCCACCTCCCTATTGGACGTCTGCAGCACGGTGTTGACGTTCACGACAACCGCCATGAGCGCGACCAGCACTACTCCTGGGGGTCTCTTTCTTTGCATGTCCTTCATCAGCAGAGGCGGAATCTTTATTGGGGCCGCCTCCGAGCTTCGGCGAGCGGCTGCGTCCTCCACCGGCGGAGGTGGGATGCTGGACTGTACCATCGGGGAACGTCGGCGCCTCCTCCAGCGCCGCAGCCAATCGATCCGTGTCCATCGCGGCAGACATCTCTCGCACGCTACACCGGCAGCGGTTCCCCAAAAGAATTTTGTCTGGATGAAACCTCAGCAGGCCCCACGGGGCGCGGGAGCTCCCGTGAGGATCGTGGTGGGTGACAATGAGCCCTGTGCCCCAAGCAAGGCTCGATAACTGTCGCAGGCTGCGGAGAACGAAGGTTGAAGCCCCCGCGACTTGAGGTTTCAACCTCCAAAATGGCTACATACCCTCCTCCTCCTCCTCTTCCTCCTCCTCCTCCTCCTCCTCCTCTTCCTCTCCTCGTTGTTCTGCTCGTCGGTCTTCCTAATCCTTATGCTCCTCCTCTTCCTCCTTTTCCTCCACTTCCTCCTCCTCCTCCTCCTCCAAAGTCTTCTTCTCCTCGTCAGTATTACTTTTCCTCCTCCTCCTCCTGCTCCTTCGGCGCTCCCCCGGAAGGCCTGCTGACCGTCACCTCTCACATCCGATGCGAGCCTCCGCGCCGCCAGCGGAACGGAAGCAGAGGGAGAGAGAGAGAGGCAGACGGACGGACGGACAGACAGTCAGACAATCAGACAGACAGACAGACAGACAATCAGACAGACAGACAGACAGACAGACAGACAGACAGACAGACAGACAGACAGACAGACAGACAGACAGACAGACAGACAGACAGACAGACCGAGAGACAATCAGACAATCAGACAGGCAGGCAGGCAGGCAGGCAGGCAGGCAGGCAGGCAGGCAGACAGACAGAGAGACAGACAGACAGACAGACAGACAGACAGACAGACAGACACACAGACAGGAGGGAGAGAGAGGGAGGGAAACGAGAGAACACGAGAGAGAGGGAGAGAGAGGAAGGAGGGAAGGAGAGGGGAAAGGGGAGGTGACCGCGAGTTTGGCGATGTGGCAAAGTTGCACCGTCGTATCGGCGTGCCGTTCGAAACTCGCGGCGCGAGAGGGATGGAGAAACGGGAGAAACGGGAGAGAGAGGGAGCGGCTCAGGGAAACGCGACGCCTGCGTATCGCTCCGAGTCCCAGCGCCCCTCACATCCGTCGTCCCCCCCTCGTCCCTCTAAGAGGAGCAGGATGAACAAACGAACGAAACTCATGGTGCATGTCTGAGCTTGCTGTCTAGTAGTGCACCAGGTTCGGCCCTTGCATACGAAAACTTCGGACAAGCCCGCCCCAAAAAAACGTAGGGATTCGGAGACCGTGTCAGGAGCAGGAGGATGAGGAGGAGGAGGACGAGGGGGGGGAGGAGGAGGAGGAGGAGGAGGAGGAGGGAGGGGAGGAGGAGGAGGAGGAGGGCAGGAGGAGGGGAGGAGGAGGAGGAGGAGGGGAGGAGGAGGGAGGAGGAGGGAGGAGAGGAGGAGAGGAGGAGGAGGAGGAGGAGCACGACGAGGAGGAGGAGGAGGAGGAGGAGGAGGAGAAAACGACGACGACCACCACGACGACGAGGAAGAGTAGGAAACCAGAAAAACAATGAGTGCCAGGATTAAGACGAGGACAAGAAGGGGAGGAGGGGGAGGCGGGAGGAGGGAGGAGGGAGGAGGAGGAGGAGGAGGGGAGGAGGAGGAGGAGGTGGAGGTGAGGAGGAGAATGGTTGCCGGCGTCCGGGGGGGCCGGGGCAATTCGCCAACGCGCGACCCAGCGCGCGGCGCGGGCGGCGTCGGAAAAGAATCGTTTTGGGGCGCTTAGTAGGAAAGGGATGGGGAAAGAAGAGGAAAAGGAGGAGGAGGAGGAGGAGGGGGAGGAGGAGGAGTTCAGGAGGAGGAGCGGGAGGAACTCCCCATCCTCCCCCCTGCTCTCCTCCCAGTTCTGTCGCTCCTCCGCGTCCCCCGCCTCCGCCCCCCCCCCCGCCTCCCCCGCCTCCGCCTCCCTGCCTCCCTGCCTCCCTCCTCCCTGCCTCCTTCCATCCCCCCCCTCTGCCCCCCCTCTCCCTGCATACCTCCCTCACTCCCTCACCCTTGCCGTCTATCCTGCACGATGTTGTCTCTCTTGTCTCTCTTTCTCCTCCTCCTCCTCCTCCTCCTCCTCCTCCTCCTCCTCCTCCTCCTCCTTTTTCTCGTCCTCGTCCTCGTCCTCGTCCTGTTCCTCCTCCTCCTCCTCCTCCATTGCTTTTCCTTTTAAGTAACTCCTCCCTGTCGCGCCCCGAAGCCAGTCGAAAGGGGGGTCAGGCGTTTCGCTTGAGACTCCGCACCGCTCATGGCCCAAAAGCTTAAACAATGTCAACAGCTTCCCAAATGGAGGGCGGGTGGTTTTCAACATGTGGCTCTCGCCTTAGCGCCGCGTGCACTCATTTTAAACACTTGTAAGGGTTTCACACACTGGAAGCAGGTCGTTTTCAACATGTGGTTTTGTCCTTAGCGCCACGCACGTTCGTCCTAAAACATTGTAAGAACTCCGCGGATTGTGGGCGAGCCGTTTTCATGATGTGGCTCTCGCTTTGGTGCCGCGCGCAATGTCTTGACATTTGCAAGGCAAATGGCGGACTGAAGGCGGGACGTTTTCAAACTGCGGTTCTTTCCTTAGCGCCGCTAGACATTTGACAAAAATCACGGATTGACGGCGGGTGGATCTCAAAATGTGGGTATCGCGTTACCGCCGCGCGCATCCGTCGCAAGAGTTGCAAGAGGTTCGCCGGTTGAAAGCGATTCATTTTTCCAAGTGTGGTTATCCGCCGACCCCTTGTGGGTCTCCAGGCGTGTGGGATTGTTCCCCCCGCCAGAATCCCCCCCCCAGGGCCCCCAAACCAGGATTTTGACACCCCCCCCGGCCCCGGGCGGCCCCGGACCGAACGCGCCACAGGGCTCCAAAACTCACCAAGAAGGTACCAAAACTCGCCAAAAAAGGTGCCAAAACGCTCCCCGGACGGCCCCCGAGACCACGATTCGCCGACATAGCGCCCCCGGACGCCCGCGATGGCGCCCAGGCGGTCTCTGAAGCTACCGAGACGCCCCAAAAAGGCCCCCAAGATGCGCCCCGAGAGGGTCGCAAGAAACAAAAATCTACACATTTCCTTCGGAAGCCACACATTTTTCCGCACGCTCGCCTACTCGGCAATCACAGCGTCCACGACAAGCACAGACACCTTCAACATCGCTCCCAGACAACCAAAGGGGCCCCAAAGCAGGGTCGCTGAGGGCCCAACGACAGCCCACGAAGCCCCCTAAGACAGCCCAGGAGGGCCCCCAGACGGCTCCAACACGGAGTCCGCAGGGCACCTTTTTCGAGCCTTCGGCTCCAAGACGCTCCCAGCCTGCTCCAAGAACACCCCAAACAAAAGGGCCTGCGGGACCTCCCAGAAAACCTCTGAAGCCTCCAAGAAGCCACGAGGAAGTCCCCAAGAGGCCCCAAAACTACTTGCAATACGACCCCGTCAGGCCTCGCACGAAATCTTGTTCACCATCCGTGTGGCCGCCTACCTGTATCCCGCGCAAGGTGGCGGGATGCGCCGCGTCCCATTCGACAACGACTCGTCCAGATTTTGGGCCGCCACATGCCGTCTATGGGCGCGGGTGTTGACAGGCATTTTCCCGAAATCGTCACTCCTCCTTCTCCTCCTCCTCCTCCGAGGACCCTCCTCCGCCTCTCCCCCATCCTCCCCCTCTTCCTCCTCCACTTTTTCCTGTTTGGTACCATGTCACCATCTCCGCGTCTCACCATCAACAACATCACCACCATCATCATCATCGCCATCACCCGCACCATGACCACCGCCATCACCATACCACCACCACGGATCACCATCACCACCGCCACGGATCACTGCCTTGTCGTGTACCTGGACACATGTGATGCAACCCGCATCCGCCAACCCGATTCGGGGCCTCCAGACGTGTAAGATTCGACCCGTGGGCGGCTGCACATGCCCCCGGACTCGTTCGGGGATGGCCCCGAAGAGCCTCGAGCCCGCCCACCCAACAAAAAAAAAACAAGTACGCCCCAGGATAGCAACACGACATCCCCAAGCCGATCAAGGGGTCGACGGATGTGGCGTAAGCCTATAGAATCACCTGAACGCCGCGCACACTCGCTTTAAACATTCGCAAGCGTTGCAAGGATTTTCGCGGTCAGCGTGGCAGGAATTGTGAGGGCACAGCAGTTCCGCTGATTCGAGGAGAGGCCTTCAGGCACGATTCCGGATCGTCGAGAAGCAACAGTCATGTTGATTCGCGGCGATGGAATCCCGACAGTGGTGCTTTAGCACGCTTCGGGTTTTTCAACTGTCGCGCCCCAGCGAGGCCGCTAGCCCCCTCAGTGGAACTGAGCCCTTGTAAGGCCCTCGTTGCGAGAGAGGGAACTCGGAGGGAGGGTATAAGACATCGTTGATGAATCTACTGTTTGCGCTGGTCCTCCTCCTCCTCCGTTTATCAATTGTCATCGTGGCTGTCATTTTCGTCATTTTCGGCGTCGCCGGCCAGCCCGGTGATGAGTCGTGGTGCTCAACAGTCCCAAATACTGGACAGGACACGCGTACGCGCAGAAGCCGGAAGGTGCAAGTGAGGCTGGGGACGTGGCGATGCACACCGATATCCTCATGTGTACGCCGCCGGAGGGCAAGTGCGCGTCGTGACGGCTGATGGCCTGGTTTCCACTACCGCGTGGACCGTTAACTTGCGTGATCGTCGGTCATAACTCGGGTCCCTGGCGGCCACTCGGGACGATCCAGGGCCCCCTTTCTGGCGAGGCGCAGCCGCTGGAAAGCATCCCGGGGCTGAAGACCCGCCGAGAGCCCCCGAAACCGCCCTCGAGCCTCGAGCCCGAGGTCCCAACGCTTCCCCCCCGATGGCGGCACCCCGATGGCGCAGAGCATTGAAGACCGGCCGCTTCTGCGGCGCTCCGCTCCGGACGCCCGCGCCGCGCACTGGGGTCGCCGCCGCGCCGAGGACGATGCGAGCCTGCCGAAGGCAGGAGCGCGCTGACAGGGCGCTCGTGGTCGGGGCGGCCGCGGGGCGACCACGCGGCGCGCGAGCGCCCGCGCCAAGCGATGCGAGCCTGCCGTAAGCAAGGGCGCGCCGACACAGCTATGCTCGGTCGGCGGCGGGTACGTTGATTCGCGGGTGAACCCTCCGAAGACGCACGGCTTCCGTATACAGGCTCGGCGGTGCAACTCCTCTACGTTGTGGCAGGAGGCAGGGGCCAACTCTGTGAGACAAGACGTTGCCTGCGAAAGCCTCCGCGGGTCTGCGGGAGAAGTGCCCCCGACCCACACATCGGGAAGGACGCGCCGCGCAGATATCTTCGCGCCCCCGGGGCGCGGAAGCGCACACAGCTTGTCAAACAGAAGGCGGGGACACACCCAAAGAGCCACGCCCGCCAAGAAGCGACAGAGGAGGCCCTGCCGGCGAGCGCGTCGCACGGGCAGGGTGCCCCCGCGACCCCAGACATCCGACGATGTGAGCGTTTCGGCGCGCGGCCCCATAATTCTGCGTCCCAGATCCGTTTTTGACGGTTTCGGGGCCTTGTGGTTCTAGGCAACGGCA